AAAGAGGTGTTTTTCAACCCCCTGACCTTCAGACCTACTTTCAGGATGCCATTCTTGAGTTGGATCCACAGGAAAAGGTGGAGGAGCAGTACAAGTGGGTCTAACATTCTCCAATTTTTTTCCCTGCGGACGCTCTTTATGGTTGGTTAGTCTCTTCTTCGTCCCCATAGGCGTATCAATCGTGAGGAGTGGAGCTGGCGTGCCCTGCGGTTGCTTTCGCGTCGATGTAGCCAGTTTTACACCAATTGGAATCCTCCTGGTCGTCCTATTAAGGATTACTTGACCAACATTTTGACGGAAAAACTGCAAAGCGAGGTTAGAACTCTTGCTTTTATTTTATTATCCTCAAAATATCCGGCTTCTCTTTTTAAGGCAAGAAATGCCGTCTTTGAGACTCAACTTTCAAACTCATTTTTATTTCCTTTTAAAGTATCTTACTTCTTTACTGTTTCCGTCTTTCAAGCATTCTCGTGGATAACTATATATCATTTAAGGAACGGTCGCTTGATTGAATTCACACGTAGAATCATGGTACAGTAGCGTAGACAGCTTGACGTCGTAAATGAGGTACTCTCACTACGTTAGCTGATGGTTTGAAACGTTTTCTGCCATTTAGAGGTCTTAACTTTTGACCCAAAACGAACCATTTGCCACATAGCTGACCTGAGCCGATATCGGGGTTGATAATGATGGGAAAGTCTACTGTAATTATTACGTATGCATCCATTACATGGTAGACGCAAATCAGTGGCATGATTTTGCATGGTTATTATTTTTCCTATGCTGGATCATTTAAAACAAGGCCAGATAGCTAGGTGAATTTCAGTGGACGAACGTTGAAAACTGGTCATCTTGAAGCTTCCCTTCTCAGTACAAAGGCGGAAGATAAAAGATAAAAGTGGAAAACCTAATGATGCTTCCTCTTTGAACCGGTATCATAACAGCATTAAACTTGGGAAAGTCGGGAGTTTTCACCGGAGTATCCGCTGAAATGCAGACTAGTTTTCTTCTAAAGAAGCCTCGAGTCGAACAAATAACGCTGCTGTCCCACCTATGAGCAAGATTTGGACTTATAAACTCCGCCCCCTTTTTTATTAGATCTGGAAAAACTGGCTAGTACCTATCATTGAGGCATTTAATTTTGTAAGAAGTAAAAAATGCCTTCCTTACCTTTATCATCGCCCACTGATTCCCCATATTTCTTCACTATCAGCAGAGCTGAACAAGGCACTGTTTAAATGATGTACAGTTAGTGAGTACTTTAATAGATTGTTGAACTCCATAAGGAACAAGTTTTCAACTCGCAACCGAACACGGTGATATTAACTCTAACAACTACTGCTTTGAATTTTTAGGGCAGTGAAAGTCGATCAAATGGGGAGATAATTCAGAAGCAACAACAGGCCAGAGGTCATTCAAATCGAAGTGGCAAGACCCTGTCATCCTCCGCCGGCGGCACGGCTAAGTCAGCCATGGGTTGCAATCAGAAGGCTCCTTATGGAGCTGTCAAAGGTACTTCTCCAAGGGAAGACCTCCCGACAGCTGATTCGCGGGCCCGGTCGCGTTCCCCACTTATTCCTGAAACCTCGTCTTTCAGCGATGCCTCCACTCCTGTTATTGTGGCTACTGCTAATGTACGTCGCCTTGGCAACATCTGTATTTTTACTTCACTACCTATTTTAGTATTAGTAGCACTCATTTGCTTCCCCTCTTTTTCAGAAGCCGAATTCGTTGCTTTCGGAGGACGAAGATGAGGCAATGCAGGATCAGGAGCAGGAGGAGGAGGAAATGGACGAAGACACCGATGGGGAGGCTGCAGATGAGGATGATGACCTCGAGAGTGGTGATTCCGAGGATTCCAAATCCAGAGGTGATAGACAGGGGGGAGAGGAGGCTGGGGAGCATTGAGAGACGCCTTTTTTGTCTACCCATCCACTAAAGCAATCCCCCTATTATTCACTATGTAACATTTTACTGTGAAGTTTATTTTAGTAAAGCACGATATCCGCCTTTTTGTGGCTCGTTTTGAAGGCGTGATTGAAATGACATTTGGTGACCATGGTTAGGCTGCGCCGATTCTATAAGCCACAAATCAAGCTGCGTGTGGGACGAAATTGCTTTGAAGTTGTTATTTTGTTGGTTTCACAAGCGTGACTGGAGTGGTGTTGTTGCCATGGTTTAGTAGTACTGCCATGCGTGTTCACCTTTGTTCCTATGTGTCCCATCTTGGTAAGTTTCAATGTGTTTCAACACGAGTTAATACCAGATCACATTCCTCTTTCAAGGATCGCATAGTCGCTGAATGACGAACTTGAGGCGGAGTTACTCTCCGTTTTGTGTTAGAACCGCATTCCACTTTTACTCCTTTCAGCCTTAATGGTGCTGCTAGCTCACATGCACTCAGTCTGAGACCTTTAGCGTTGTGAAAACTTAGGGGGACCATGAGGATTTTCCTCCATTGCTTGGGAGAATTCCCCCAATTTTGGCTAGCTATCCCCGTTGACATTTCTCATCCGTAATTGGGTCCTTTCAGGTCGTCTCTAACCAAGACCTATTTCGATATTATAGGCCTGGGAAGTGTCCATTCGTATTCTATTCTAATGAATATGTCAATGATGAATTTATGATATTGTGGTCTGGTTAATCATTAACGTTTCATCTCCAGCAAATCGGTTTTCATACTTTCCAAGGCTACCTTTATTCAAATCTCTTTCGTTATTCACTCCTTCCATTTATTCTTAATAATTGTCGGCTTCACAGTTTTGACCGCATAGAATGTGCTGTGAAAGGTACACCTATTCATTTCACTTGTTTGTGTTGGTGTCTTAAGCATTCTGATGGTCTCTCAACTAGCGACCTGGTCATATAAACAATCGCTCTGGGCTATACATCTAACTGCTCTGTTTGTCCTTCCTTAAAACACTAGAAAATGTTTATCATAGCCTTGGCATCTAATCAGTCGCCCAGCCAATTATACAATTACGGGTAAAAAGATGAGCTGTTTCTTTGAGCCAGCTGCCTTAACAATAGCTGACACTTGTGCTGAGCCTATCCATGATTTGTCATGCTAAAGCTGAATTAACTCTAGCTAGTGCTTCTGCGAATCCAAGGTCTGAAAAAGAGAGGTAAGCTATAGTGCCAACGTGGAGATATTTCGTTCATTTACCACAAAATCAAGACAGAGTACTCCGTGGTGTGGTGAAACCAACCGCCGTGTCACAGCGCGCAGGCGTGAACAGGCGCGACAACGACAGCCAGTCAGCCTTCTGCGTTCTCGCTCTCCTGCACGGCCTTGACTGCACACACTAACCATAGCACAGAGAAGTAGGGCTTGTCTGCTAGCTTTACTGGAACGTCTTTTTCTTCTCTGACTGCAGCACCGCTGATGCACCGCACCGAGCACAAACCCCTCGTTCTCACTACTGGCGGCGCCGGTTTCATCGGCAGCCACACTATTGTAGAACTCCTCGATGTTGGTTATGATACTGTCATTCTGGACAACTTTTGCAATGCCAGTAAAGGTAGGCTGTCATCCTCCTGCCAAATTTTAGGGTTTACATCGTTCAACAGAAAACTGTGCTACCTTTTTTTCCTTTTCTTACTTGTGATTCTCGAATCACGCTTTGAAATCTGATGCCTTTTTACTCAAACTATCTGTGAAATTTTAGGAGTACTCATCTTGTATAACCTATAGGTTTACCTGTTCTTCTTCTTCGTTTTTTTAGTTTCAGTGTCTTTTTAAAGAATGAGCGTTTTTTGTTCTAATTTCTCATTTTTCTGTTCGTTAATTTTGATTCTGGAAATCGTATTTTCATTCGATTAAGTCCGTTCGCACCAAGCAAAAACACCTACCCATTTTTTACCAAATAAACTATGTCATATTCATCATTTCTGACTACTTTGGATAAAAGGATTTTTCAGCCACTGTTGTTTGTCCACTAGTGATTTGGAATCTACAAATCTGTAATGAAAGGTTTCGAGAAGGGCGAACCTTGTATCCTGATTGAAAATGAATGATCTTCTATCTTCAGCTGAATGTTTTTCTTTTTACTTAACACAAAACAACTCACTGCCACTTTGCAAAAGTGTCTAAGATTGAAACGCAATCGCCCACAAAATCCCGGTATTTCATCGACAGTTGATTGACACTAATTACAGTAATGCAGTAACAAAAGACGTTTTCTCGGCTTTGTTAAACAGTTGCAACATGGAATTCCTTCCATGTCTAACCCCTATCAGTCAGCTGGGAATTACCGATCTCACCTTTTCTTCCTCTTTTTTCCTCACTTCATAGGCTGCATCGCGAACCTAGAGAAGGTATGTGGTCAGAAACTCAAGGTCCGTATCATTGATCTGCTGGATAAGGATGCTCTTACATCCCTCTTTCACGAGGTAAGTCGGCGGTTTTTTTCCACCTTTATGACTGAACTGGGAATTTTTCATCAAACATCAAGGTAGATATGTGCTTGGTGGGATCTAACGCCTATGCACTTGTCACCTTCTTATAGAATCTACAGCACGTGAGCGTTTTTCTTAAGTGAAATACTCAAATTTTCCATTAGATTCCTCGCTGTCTGTTGCATCAGTATCAGGAGCTAACTCAAAACGTTTGCGATAATCCTAAACCACTGGCTGGTACTTTATTACAATTACCCGGTAACCTTCCCCAATCTTTTACCGACTCCTGGGGTTTTCTGACTTCTGTAATATACAGTGCGTGAGAACCGGGTGCTAAATGTTAGGAAAAGAAATAAAAGTAGAACTTTGTTGATAATCTGTCTTGGTCATTGTATTTATCAGAGTAAAGATGTCTGAGTGACCGAGTTAATCGTAGCCAATGTACATTGTGCATTTACATAGAGTAGGCCTAGCCACTGTGTTGCTATTAAATTTTGTAGAAAGTTTTATTTTTTTCTTTTGGCGAAATGTCACAGTTTAAAATTGAATTGTATTAAAAGTATATGTTTAAGAGATATTGGGCATGCATATACGACCGATTTCACAATTCGCTTGGTGTTGAAGAAAAAAGAAGAAAATTGCTTATAACTGATCTCTATATCGCAAAAGTATTTTAGCAGTAAAACGTTATTTATGGTTCGAGATTAAGGGTTTCTTTGGTAGACTCCGTGATCTGGTTTATTCGCTATTAGCTTTATTAAAAAATGGATAAATCTGCCTCATGTCACTTGAGCCGATAATAGAGTTTCTGATTTCTGTGTGTCTAGAGGTTAGGTATTTGACTCAGACAAGGAAGATCGTGTGGTTGTTTCGGTGTTTGTACTATTTCAATCGTCGGCTTGTCGGGTTGTTATTTGTGTCTGTCGCACTATCACCACAACCTATGAGCCCTTCTAAGTATTCTATAGTTCTGAGGGAAAAAAATTGTAGTTCAGAAGCCCTTTATTTCTCGTTATTCATGGTTTCTCACTTGTTGCATTCATAAGAGAACTCCTAGAGTTTTCCTAGGGAAATATTGTCTTTTTGAATTTGATTTTGCAGAGATTGAGTGTATTTCATGTTAAGGACCTCGTAATAGTTCATCACAAATGAACGATATCTACATAATCACCGATTAATGTATTGCCCCCCAAAATCCACTTTTGAAATTAAACGAAATTGAAAAAGATTGCGAACACGTTTTGAAGAATTCAAAGTTATTCGATATATAAATAGCCTGAAACTGAAGTGTGTTGTAAGTGGGTTTTCAAAATACCCTAAGCTAAGGCAATTTCGGTTGTCTTTAAGCGGGACTACACCCTCGGTGCAATGTTCACCGGATATCAGGTGAAGGGGCTTTTATTGTTTATCTGCGAAGGACAAAATTTTCACCGTTGAATATTGATGGACTAAGTCGGACAGGAGCGGAGTAGCAAAATCACTACTGTGTAGCCCGAAGTTTGAACTAATGGGACATTTCACTTCAAACCCACTTTTTCCCAGTCTATATTACAATAATGAAGGTTTTTCAGTTGGGGATTTTTTACAATGCGTACAGTGAATGCTGTTCTGAGTCTGACTTGAATACCAAATACCACGGGAAAGGTGAACAATTCATATCAGATGCATCAAGACATGCCCTCATTTTATGTGACCGCTACGTGCCCCACGCTTGGTTTGTGTTTGTACGCATGTGATTTCTCCATTTTAGTTCAAATTTGACTATGTCATTCACTTCGCCGCGCTCAAAGCCGTGGGCGAGTCGGTGCAGATTCCCCTTGAGTACTACCAAAACAACATTACCGGCTTCGTCAATTTGCTGCAGGTGAAGTTAGTCATGCATCTTTGCCTAGTCAAGCTCTTGCAAAGCACAATTCTTTACTTTAATCTTGACCTAAAGCCGCGATTTTCAGCGGTTGGTAGAAGTCCACTGTCTAAGTTGGAATTTGTCTACTGCACCATTTAGAATTTACTCCTCTTACTCTTACTCCTAGTAATGGTATTTTCTGGATTTGTATCTTTGTGTTTCGATTAATCTGCGCTATTTGATTCCCTTTGCTTAGTGGGAAGAATTATAGTCATCCATCCCCACTTCTATCCCATTGAGCAAAATTTGGTAATCTTCGGTTAGATTTAGGTAAGGCCAAATAAATGCAGCACTCCTAATAGTTCTTTTATCATTAATATAATCTTCATAAAATTTGCTTGACAAGTTTTTATGCTTTATTTGAGTTTCAAGTTAAAAGGAGATGCGTAAATGTGAAGATTTTGGCATAAAACTCCGGACAGAAAAGTCCAATTCTTCTCTCAAGGCTGAACCTAGTCACTGACTTCACATCTAATTTGTTTGATGGTGCTGTTTACCTGAAGGTGATGGCAGCAAACAACGTAAAGAAACTGGTCTACTCAAGCTCCTGTACCGTCTACGGAGACCCCTCGAAGCTGCCTCTGACAGAAGAGACACCGACGGGCCAGTGTGCCAACCCCTACGGACGCACCAAGTATATTGGAGAGTTGATTCTTGAGGTAGGCAGCCTAGTCCTCTGTCACTGCGTTGATTCTTCCCATTCCATTTGGTTAAACACAAATTGATAGAGTCTACTATCTGTTTCCTTAAGCGGTACTGATTTGGGGATTGGTAATTTGCTTATTCGTATTGTTGTCTATGGGGGCAAGACCTGTTCGAGGAAGGCCCGTGGAGGGAATTGAAAACTGAGTTAATACGACTTTAAAGCGATTTTGTGGAAGGCCAGTCTTTGGTCTTCCATTGCTACGACCTCAGTCTGGAATTTACTCTTCGGTCAACCTTCGCGAATAATATCCCTTAGAATTTAGGCATAACCCTAATCCGACAACTACATTTATTCTTTTGCCTCATGGCTCCCCGATATTTTGCCTTTGCTTCTATACTTCGTGCAGGACGGTTCCCTTCAAATATGACGACTAGTTGAATTAATCAGTTCAGATTGAATTCACCTATTAGCCATGACAAGTGTCACAGCTTTGGAAGTTGAAGCAAAGCGGAATACGCTGATTAACCGCTGCATTGTTGGTCCTCTATCCCAACCATTTTTCAAGAAAATGTGCCACGAGACCGAGTTTTAATCATTGTGGTCATGATTTCTGGGTCTCTGATTTTAAACAAGTCTGAATAACTTGAACACTTTCCTCTTTCCTTGATATTCCTCAATGAATATGAAAATGGTATGAAGCTAGTAAATTAGCTACTAACCGCTCCACAGTAGGCACTCACCAACCTTCCGAAGAATTTATTGCACCCGGGAGACTGGTAACTTGAAGTAACCGTGATCAGTCGCTGAATGACTTGCTTGGTCTCTTGAACAGGATCTGACCAGATCGGACCCAGAGTGGTCGGTAATCAATCTTCGTTACTTCAATCCTGTGGGTGCGCATAAATCGGGCCTCATTGGGGAGGACGCGGGTCCCGCGCCAAAGAACATCTTCCCCTGCCTCACCAAGACCGCCTATGGTCGCATGCAGGAGGTTGTCGTCTTCGGCAACGACTACAAGACCCCTGACGGCACTGGTAATTATTTCATGTTTCCTTTTTTAGTTTTTTTTTCACATTATCTAGTCAAATGTTGCATTTTTGCTCGCTTTTGCCCAATGATAGAATTTCCATGACTTCCAATGAAGACAGTTTTGGTCGACAAAAGGAAAGTCGGGAAGATATTTCGATGTTAATAAATGTAAGATTTGCAGGCTTTTTGTTCTAAGGGCTCTGGACGTGATTCCTGTGAATTACTCACCTAATTTTTTTCCCAAAGAATTACCAGACGAGGGAAGCAAACAATTGGGAGCGTAGAATCATTAATGTTGGTTCTTTAGTTCAGTGTGTTTATGCGGGTAGTTTGAAGGAGGAGTGATACTCTCAAATACAGGTACCTCTGTTGTTTAAGGAAGCGAAGGTTAGAAGCCTCTCTTTTGACCGTAATATATGTAAACTCTGTCCTCTACTTTATAACTTCCTCTGTCGAACGATGTGTACCCTCAATTGTGTGTTCAGTCATCGTACTCGCTGGACTATCATTCCCTTTTGTATCAATTTGTTGTTCCATTGCCTGTTGGAAGAAAGTTAGGTTCCGAGAGCCAAGAGCTACTAGTTGCCATATCTAAGGGCTTTAATATTGGTTTCAACACCTTACTAACCGCCTAAGTAATGTTTCAGTCGGACAAGGAATAGATGTTCATGCCACATATCCTACATTCACTACACTCTAATTAACCTTAGTACTGTTCCTAAAATAATTTCACCTATTTTTAAGTGACCATTCTACTGGTTGACACAAATCAGGTTTTGCAATTGTGCGTTTGCCTGTTAGTAAGTCTCAAAGAGGTTCCAAATGTAACCGAAGTGCTAGATGCAATGTGACCATGAAAGTCACTGAAACAATCTTGCCAAAACGTGTAAGCTCCTCCATGCTCGAGGTAAGAAAAAATAAAATCTGCGCTAACGGTTTTGTTTACAAGAAGCCAATGTGATCTGTGCATGGTGGCAATAACGAAAGCTCAAACTTAAATTCCCTTGTTAAGAGGTTTATAAAAGCAAGCACAGAGTATTTGTGTGTACGCTTTTTTCCCCTCCTATTATAGGCATTCGGGATTACATCCACGTGGTGGATCTCGCTAAGGGGCACGTTTCAGCCGTGAAGTACCTCAGCAAATTCACAGGCTGCAAGGTAACAATCGCCTAGATCCGACACTAGGCTTCCCCCTCTTCCTATTCAGCGTCATTTTGTTGCTTCTACAGCTAAATTTGCACATTTCGAACCTCTTTAAATCGTTGATTCACTTTCTTTGTACATACAGGACCTACCTCAGCATTTAGCGTTTGCCCTTTAGCAGGAGCGAGTGCCTGAGAGTCGCAGCTTTGGTTAGCTTTAACATATTCCTGCCACCGCCATATTTAGTCATTCAACCTGGGCACAGGAAAGGGCTACTCAGTGATGGAACTAATCAAGGCCATGGAGAAGGCGTCAGGAAAGCCCGTAAAGTACCGTTTCGATGCTAGACGTGGGGGCGATATCGCTGTGGCCTACGCGGATACCACTCTGGCCGAGAAAGAACTCGGCTGGAAAGCGGAGAAAGGCCTCCCGGAGATGTGCGAGGACGCATGGCGCTGGCAATGCAACTTCCCCGACGGCTACCCAAAAGCCGCAAAAGGTGACATGTGAAATTCCCCCCCCCCCTCTCCCCGAGGGAACCTCTCTGCACTCGCTTTGCTAAGTTATCTGCCAATTAAATGTTCTTCTGATTTCACTAGCCTCTCGTACCTGTTTCACGTTGGTGTAAACCCTGAGACGGCAAGACCTTCGGTAGGACCACAACTCCGATTGTAAATACCCCAATATCATCAAACCAAATATGTACAGCACAAACTAACACGCACCTAACGCGTCGCGTGGGGGTAGCGTAGCAGAGCCTTTAGACGGACGCAACCGCCGATCGTATGTGGGGAAAGTATCAACCACCGAAGCATGTCGATGGTAGCTGGGTTCCACAGCAAGTTAAAAAGGAGACATAATCCCACTAGCCTTCTCTAGGCCAATCAAGTAGCAAAAATTAGAAGTAAGACAAACGAGACAAATGTATTTACCCAGCTGGAGTAGAAGCATAGGTTCAGAGGTCGTGAAACACCCAGCGGTACCTCCAGCAGTTTAGAGACCGAAGTGTGAGTCGTTCCTGGAAGATCAACTGTGAGAAAAAAAATGTAGTAATCAGAGGCGTCATTAAGAAAGGGTCAGCAGGACTAAGACAGCCAAGAGAAGAGTAATCATTCAGCCTTAGGAAGGGCCTTACCTAGAGCTTCTACCGAGGGGCAGCACCGCATTCATCACTACTTTGAAGCCTAAAATGACAGCAACTTCGTCGTAATAGCCTGCATCATCGAACAGCTTTCAGCATTTAATAAGCAAGCAAGAGGTTCTAATCATGAATAGGTCGTTGGATTACCGAGATGAGTGCCCTCAATTCACATCGTAAAAAGCTGAAAATCAAAGTAAGCACTCTTAGAATAAGAATAATCAGGTGATAAGAGAAATGTCACTTTTCATAGAGGGCAAGTTTTTCATCAGATGATCAACAAACGCACCGACTACGAACCAGGAGACCACGCAGCATGACAACCCGGCACAACGCGCGTAACCAAAGCCCAAATAACTAAAACAATCGATGGTAGAAGTGCATTGAAGGAAAGAAAGATGAAAGCAAAGTAGAATGTGCACACAGAGGCGATTCTAATTTACCCTCCTTATGGCAAGGTTCCACCCTGTGTTCCTGTTATTTGAAACGCACTAAATCTAATAATTAATGCTATAGTGCTGTCATCATCTTGATTAAGCATAAAAGATTCCAGGCTTGATTACAGTTAATGTGACCATTTACCTTCAAAGATTACCTTTAAATAAATGGGCTGATTAAGTAGTCTAATAGTAGCACTGAGTAAATGGTAATAGAGGAAAATGCTTGGTTCTGCTCTTATCATAATAAGACCAACTGCTTGTCAAAATATGATGAACTGTCTTGTGATTCCTGCATTAAACTGCCATAATGTGCCTTTTTAGTAATGATCTAGCCATATACATCAGTTGAATCGAATCACAGTTTCACTTTTGAGTCGCAGATCGGAAGCTGATTTACTAGTGCTAGGTGACAAAGGTCTGCTTGGAGGAGAAGGTAGTAAGTACCAGGTTTTACTCGCTGAAGAGTCCAGATGTCAGGCGCTTTATCACTGACCTCCTAAATGTGTCTTGTTTTGGATAGAAGATAATATTCCTTGTTAGTCAGGAAACTAACTTACCATCGAATAACAGTTTTATTCCTCACTCAGCGGTGCCATCTAAGACTCTACGTGAACATGAAAGAGAACACGTATTTTATGATGTTTAGTTAATTAGACGCATCAATTCTTCGGAAAAACATCTGCATAGCATTACTTTAATACCTTTTTTAGCCGAAAAGGCCTTTTTACGAGTGACCCGCGCAAGGGTGAGCAAATTTTAAGTAACCGAAGCTCTTCTGCAAAAGCACCTATCTTCCCACACTTATAAGGGTATCTCACCGTTAAGGCAGCCAGACTCATAAGTCGTCTCGTGACGTAACACATCTGAGGGTAGAGCTTAACCACTGTTACCTTAATAGAATGTTTTAAGAATTTTAAGTTCTGTTATGACTCCATTTAAGCGCTATCGCTGCTGATTTTTGAATCCCTTACCTGCTTCGAAGGAATGGTCACATTAATATTGCCTTAAATGAAGCATTCAAGAAGAGAATGAAGTAGTTCGCTCTCAAGCAAATTAATGACCGAGATCAATGGTAAAATTCGATATTCTCACCTGACGGAGACAAATGGTGGGCGCTAGGAGAAACGCCACAAGTTGGTGGCGTAAGTGGCCTGAAGTGGGTGACCAAAGAGTTATTTCTTGTGTGCACTACTAGTGCTACTACGTAGGAGCCTACAATAGTGCATATACAAACCGGTTTCTTCTTCATAAATTTCGCATATCTTTTTGTGAATGCCTAATTGGATCTAATAGGAATACATTCCAAACAACAATTTGTTGAAAGCCTTGACATATTCAACCTAAACTAAAATCATTTATAATTAAGGTTCTCCAAAATCTAAAGGCGATATCGTGTATGCTTTGAGACATTAAATTTGGCATGAGATTCATTTAATTTTCTTTTACTACTTTAATGCCCTCGCAAACACTTGCTTGAATATTCAGCAAATTTTCTCATGCTGCGTTGGAGGTGTAACAACAATAACAATACCAACAACAACACCTCCATCAAAATTTAATCAACCTCTCGGCTGAACTGCGACTAAGACTTTATGCGTCTAAAATAAGCTGGAACTGCGCAGTTTGTGCTAGGTGCCATGATGCACTTTTCGGTATTATTCAACATTACAATAACAATTGCTTTTACACCTCACACGAATTAGTGTAAAAATTAAATTAAATACTGTCTATCACTATTATTTCCACCCAGGAACTGATTTTGAGCAACGTCCTTGAGGGAACTCGGGCAGGAAGTTGTAGTCAAAATCCTTCTGAACCTCAGGAATAGCCCTGCTAGTCGGGGCACTCGGTGATGGTTATTGTCAGCGCTTACCCCGGCTCATAGACACATTAACATCATGATTTTCGATTAGTTATCACAACTTTTCGCAAAAACTACCCAATTCTAGTCACGAATTGTACATGCATTGTGAGACAGTCTCTTCTTGAATGGCAGTAGGGGCTGGAGATTGAACCGTTGTCTGAGTGACTCACATATCCAGGCAAGCAGAACGCGGATTATATTTGCTTGACGTTTTCGGCTAGCTGCGTTAACTGTCACAACGCGGAGTCGAAGATTTTGTATTTGGCAGCTACGTCTTCCACAATGGGAAAAAAGATGGGTAGTGTCTAGATGGCAGTTGATGGTGTGACTGATTGCTAAATTGAAGCTATATTTTACTATCAAAAAGCGGCTGCAATTTTCAGTTAATCAGGATTTGCGAATGAGAGGAAGAGCAACAGACAGAAGCCACTGGTGTCACGCACAACTTCCGGGTTCATGTCCGTACAGATCGCCAGGCCAGCTAGCCTAGGTTGTCATAACTCAGGTTTCACCAGATGAAATAGTGATCTGGAGTTGGTGATTCACCTGATGTGAATCCAAAAAAGGACTAGCGTTGAGAGTCACATTACCTCGTGCTAGGCAGAGAAGGGTAGTTCAAAAGAACGAGTGATTGCGAGCCTGTGCCTGAGAATTGGCTGGGCTCAGAGACTCATCAACGCGATGCCAAATTGTAAAATACATTTTAAATTAATACAATTAGTGGATCCTCCTTCCAGTCTAATGGTACTTCAGGGTTGGCAATGCACCACCCAAAACACACCTCCTCAGTTGAGAAATGCATGAAATCGAATTAGTTAATTCGGGAGGTGGATGAAATGTGTCTCGCTTATCAACAGAATCCTAGTTCGCGAATACTTTTTATTACCAAAACCGGAAATTAGTCAACAGTTGAAAGCATTCCTTGCCCAGCGTACACTTCATCTGTTTGAGTGGCCTGCAATCTACTAGCGTCAAGTATTTTCAAGTGCGACCGTAAATCATTAGAGGAGTGGAGAGCCAAAATCGTGGTAGGTGGAAGCGTTGACGTTAAATTGCCAACTTAGTAGCAACAACTGGTTTCCACTGTTGGTAAGATGCTCATTAAAAGTGTTTTTTATTCGTGACGAATCTATTTTACTATAGCCATTGCATATAATTTTAATTCTTGCTAGAAAACCAGGCACTACGTGGTACTGCATTCATACCGATTGACATGCTGCTTGTGAGATGACATGCAAGATGTGAGTGAATTCCGGCGACTCCGAAAAATACTTATAAGGCTTAGCTTACTGCATTTTGGAATGGAGGCGGGAAGGAAAACACAACCTCTATGAAGACTGTGAATGAAGATACATTCATTTGATTTTGGGCGTGCCATTCCCCCCAGTAAATAGTCAAGCATCTGTTGTAAGAAACGTGGCTATGCTGCAATGCTAGAGTAGGTGGTGGCGTGAAGCCTAAATGGCCAGGCAGCCAAATCAGAGTACGAAGCCTCACACCGCGAGGCGCTGAGCTGACTGATCAAACTTTCCGCTTACCTTTTTCGGGCTGTTGATTTAACTAACTATAGTTTGGTGTCAACAGGTACGGTCATGCGTGCAGTAGACGGCACGTAGTAGACGCGTGTCTAAATGAGCTTCATTTGCTGTTCACGATAACCAGAACGTCTAATTTTGCCTTGCACGATTGTTTGTGGCATCCTAACCCTTAGGAAGTTCAGTGTGGAGCTCAGAGTGGAGGGCAAGCAATACGCATCCTAGGTTCGTTCTACTTTCCAAACCAAAGAAGTTTTATGTCTATCACCGCCACGAGATGGAGACAAACTTAAATCGGGAAAATGCGACCGCAAAGACGACTCAATGACGACTCCCTTTGCAGTGATAGCAAAAGATATATGGAGTTTGGCAGCGCTGACATGTTAGAGGTGTGTGCTTGCGTACATGTATGCCTGTGACGGTGGATTCGAAAGCACTGTGCCAAACAGCAGCAGACCAGCGGAGTTTCGGCCGATTGTTAAAGGCATGGTCACAGGTGCGCTCGACGCCCCCGAATCTCACCGGTTCTCGCAGTCCATAGCTTAGACTCCAAGCCTAACATTACTTCGATAAAATAAGATGTATCTTTAGATCTGCTTTGCTATAATTA